GTGAACCACGTTGCAATGAACATGGAGGAGCAGATATCTCTTCTGGATACTGATCTTGTTTTGTTTTGTTTTTTGTATGTATACCTAGAAGCAGGATTGCTAGATTATATGCTAGTTCTAATTCTTCACGTTTTTCATGTTTTAAGGAACCTCCATACTGTTTACCATAATGACTGCACCAATTTACATTCCTACTAACAGTGCACAAGGGTTGCCTTTCTGTACATTCTTATCAACCAACACTTACCTTTTCTCTTCTTGAGGACAGCCATTCTAACAGGTGTGAGGTGTGATACCTCATTGTAATTTTGAGTTGCAATTTCCTAATAATTTGTGATTTTGAGCATCTTTTCATGGCCAGATGGAAGAGGGGAGGGCAAAGGCAGAGGTGGAGGTAGGGCAAGGGGGGGAAATGGGGACATCTGTAATAGTGTAAACAATAAAAATAAAGTAAAAAAAATGAAGGAGATGCCTTTGTGTCTTCAAACCTTGTCACTGCAGTGGGACCAAACAGAGAGAACTGGCATCAATTCCAAGGAATGGTCTTCCAGGTTAGAAATAGAGAGAAAGCATGGAAAGCCAGCTCCACAGACCCACAAAACATACTGCAGCATCTCTGGCTCCAAACATAAAAGCTTCTCTTTTTTTAGCAAAAGAGAGGAAACCCAGCTCAGCTCTTCATTTTCTTCAACAGACTGTAGGGAATTCTGCCTGTCAGCAAATTCCTGCACAGTGACCTACAGAGCCCTGCAATCTGGGCACAGAATCTATGACCTTCACAGCTTCTGCGGAAACTTACCCCAACCACCCAAACCAATTAATTCTTACATATGAACAAATAGAAAAGAATCCAAATCTATGACTATCTGAGGAAAATTAGAATGAAAAGGTAATTGCTAAACAAGCAGAAAAGCTAATCTATTAGAAAGAACGGTGCATGGAGGAAAAAGGGACATTTGTAAAATATATAATAATATTTTTAAATGGCTTTTTTAGCAAATCTTTGAGGTGATAGACGCATAAAGAAATCTCAGTCAGCAGAAAAGAAAAAGTTAATCCAAAGAACCAAAACTAACATTTAGTTCAATGACAAAACAGTATAAATATTTAAATCTTTTCATAATATTGATAAATGTTTAGCATGCATGAGCAAGGAAAACAGAAAAGGCACAAATAAACACAAATATAATAAAATATGAGATACACAACAGCCATAGTAGAAAATAAAACAATAAGAAAATGATACAAAAATTTTCTGATAGTAAATTTGAATGAGAGTAAAATAAAGAGATTTTTAGACAAACACTATAAACTTTTTCCAAAGAAAACTTTATTTTCCACATTTGCATGCCCCCTTTAATAAATTGTATTTTCTTATGTATTTTGTGATACATATTAGAGCTAACATCGGATATCTCTGCTATGACTCTCTTATTCCCAGTTTTTCAGGATTAAAAAATTAAATGGCAGAAATAGAAGCAGAATTTTTTATTTTAATAAAGAATAAGGACAAAGTTTTGAGAGAGAATTAGAATAGTGAATCATTACTGGTGAATGATTTCTGTGACTTAATTTCTTGGATTCATAATTGAAATAATTTTCAGCTTTGCTTTAATAAGTTTAAATGCAAATAATTAAAATATAGTTAATTAGAGTGTTTAAGTGGTGAATGAAGAACTGTGCTAAAGATGGGCAAAATGACTAAAAAGACACTGTCAGTAATTAAGTGTTAATCAAGTGAGCATTTGTTACATGGAGAAGAGACATGTTTTGAGAATTTATTTCTACTTCTGCTCATATATTTAGAGTTTAAAGGTTATACTTGTCAAAATTAAATTTTGAAAACAATCAAAAGATTCTATTTCAATATTAAAACATTTGGAAAGGGGCATGAAAATCCATTTATTCATTCAATAAATATTAGTAGAATATTTTTTCAGGTAATTGGAACTTGTTTAGTGTGATTGATGCTGTGGAGATACATTTTATACTGATTTACGCACACACACATTTGAGATAATAGAAAACAAGACCCTCGATGCTTTCCCTGAAATGGTGTTTAAATCTAATCTGGGGAAGATTCAGTCTCCTTGCCCTGTCTTTATTGTTCATGGGTCGGCAGGGGGCATGTACTTAGAGAAGGATACAATTGGGCATAACCTCACAAGACAGTGAGAAAGAGGGTTGAATAGGGGTATAATCATTACAGGAGACCATTAACATTTTTTGAGGGCCATAATCAACACTTAGATATGGGGAGTCTATCCCTAAAGAAAATTTTTTAAAACATACTTCAGGCAGAATATACATTCTACATGGAAGATCTGAGATGATAAACATATATTTATTAGGCTATAAGGTTACTCAGCTGCAACAAAGATCTCCAAAAATACAAGGTTTGGGCAAAAGTAAGTTTACAGTTGTATGATAAAAGACACTCAGATTATGATTATAAAAATATTACAAGAATAAACTCTGTGTTTTGTGTACTCAAAACTGTAAGCCTACTTTTGCCACACTTGTATAGTGTCTTAAACCAGATACAAATTTACTTCTGTCTCAGGTTAAGTTAGGATTGGTGGCCTAGACAGTCTTGGGAATTCAGGTTCTTCTGTAGTGGTGCTCTGCCATCTGCAGCTCATGGTTTCATCTCATGATCAAAGGCAGCTGCTTCAGATCCCACCATTCTATTCACATTCCAAGATTCAGCAAGTGGTATAAATGGAAAGAGCGAACAAACTGCTTCTTTTTATAAACTACCCAAACTAAGTACCCCTAGACTCAAGAAAGTTACTTTCCAATGGATGCTATACACCATAGCCTGCGCTTCCTTCCCCAGGACAGCTTACCAGAGTTTAAGTCCTAGACCTAAAACAAAGGTGGTGACAAGGTATAATTCCGCCTGCAATAAGAACAATTCACACCACTCCTTCCTATTTCATCCACAGGTGCCAAGCAAATTAAAGACTTGAGACTCAGTCTCTGTAACAGAAAACTCTATTAGAAGTACAATTTACAAAGAAAAGAGAAATTGAAAATTCTAGCCATCCACTCCAATCCTCCTACCACTAACAAATCCCAGAATGGGATCCTCCTCATTTGAGCATCTTACCTAAAGGTAGCAGTGGCTTGACTTTTTCAGGACTGAACAAATGTGTTCTTTTTAAGGCACACAAAAGAGTGAAGCAAAATCTTAGGATAACATCCAACTAAGAGGAAGCAATACACCAATTGTGATGATACTCTTGTGATGTATGGGTCTCCGGCCAGCAGTGACCACGGAATGCTGTGGATGGCTCGGCAATAAACATGCGAGAAAAAAAAACATGCACAGAGACAGACTAGTTTCTGTGAGGAAGTAGGGACAGAATGGCCACCCCCCCTAGTGGGGAGCGCGCTGATTTACAGTCCATACCTGCTTTTATTAGACCCATTTTGCATAATAATTCAGGTAAAGTACAGTACTCATTAGGGGGAAGTAAGGAACCATAGAAAACAAGGAACTCTGCCAGTCTATTTTGAGTCGGGGTCAAAGAGCTGTAAGACTTTGAGGAACAAACTAACTTCCTCCTAGGACCCTTCTCATTCAACTGAGAGCATTCTAAACAAAGAAGGTTTCACAGTAATTTACATATTCTTTCTTAGGCCTGATCACCCAGGGAATCCGCCCTTTTCAGCACAGAGCTGCACCACCCTGTCATTGTTTCAGGCTTAGGTGGAGCAAGGGAACTAAGGCAACCGAGAGACAAGGAGGTTTTCTCTCAGACGTTGAGGACTCAGGCTATGTCAAAGCCGAGGAGCGAGGGTCCATCACCCCCTTTTGCTGCAGCCCCCCAAGTCCTTCTTTTGGGGGGGCTCCCAAAGTGATTGTGCCTGTCTTAGGTCATTCCCCCCTTGGGGAATCTTACCCGTCTTTGGCTAACCGACCAAGCTTTTTGGGGTTCAGTCATGAATAAAGCAGCAGGAGCAGCATTCCTGCCAGGGAGATAAGCTTTTGTCTCCTTGCTGGCTTACAGTTCCAAGGGTGTTCCCTTAGCCTTAGCCTAGGTGGGGTTTCAGCTTCTGATACCAGTCAGGGCGGTTCCCAACACTCTTGTAACTTTTAACCTAGTTCTTGTTAGCAGAAATGGGAGGTCTAATTGACTTTATTCCATATCCACATTTTGAAAAGAGAAATTCATTTTTGAAGTAGCATAACTACTTCCACATTTATTAATAAAGCCATGTTTACCAACACCAGACTCTAACACATTTTATAGTTATTAGATTATCATAATTACATGGTTACTTTTACTTTGTTAAATTAATATTTACAAAGCACACATATACTCAACATTTGGTGTTATTCAATTCTCTTTATTTTAAGAAAAAATAAATAAGTTAAAATACAATGAATTAAAAATACAGACCTATTTTACTTTTTAAAAATGAGAGATTATAACATATTATTCCTAGAACCTATTATAGCACCTGCCCCACTTAAGTTCCTTTTAAATAAATGAGTAACAGCCACACTTCAATGAAAGGTGTTTTCTCATATTGTGGATATTGCTAGTGTTTTTAAAGAGACATTCATTACACAGGATTCCAGTGACTTAGAGCTCACAGCAATTTGAGGGTTTGAGGACACTGCAAAACTAAAACTACACAAAGGTTGGGAATTCCCATTCTCATTCTGGATGGTGTTGCACAATCATTAAATAAAGGCAGAAAATGGCATACCCAGAGTCAATTTATCTATCCCCAAATTTATCCATCACAAAGAGCATGGAAATGTTGGGATCAGAACAAAACAATGAATGTGGAAAGTATTCACACATCCAGCTATCCAGGTACATCCCAAATGGCTATGGAATGAAGTGCCCATGACTACTTTGCCATGAGATTAGTAGTACTAGAAGGCCTTCTCAATGTGGGATGGCCTCTATCCATATAACCTAGAAGGCCATGGCAGTGTTTTTTCAGGAGCTTCTGAAACAATACCTGGAATGTATTAATATCTACCCTTTTATGTACAACACCTTGATTACTCGCTGGCGGATCTGCACAGTCTTCACACCATAGACAATTGGATTGAGTGCAGGGGGCAAAAGGAGGTAGAGTGTAGCCAGAAGAATGTGGATGTGATGGGGTACATGGTGGCCAAAACGGTGAGTGAGAAAGGAAAACATTCCAGGAACATAGAAGATCAGGATGACACAAATATGAGACCCACATGTGCTAAAGGCCTTTAATCGGGCCTCACGCCCTGGTACCTTAAGCACTGCCTGGAGGATAAGGGCATAGGAAATACCAATGGCAAGGACATCTAGTCCAACCACAAGCAGTGCCACTGCCAACCCATACATTTGGTTCACTGTGGTTTCTGAGCAAGCAAGTTTTATCACAGCCATATGTTCACAATATGCATGACCTATGACAGTGGCCTGACAGAAGATAAGTCTCCCCAGTAGGATAGGGAAAGGGAGCAGGAGGACCAATCCTCGCAGTAGCACTGCCACTCCAATGCGTCCTATGATCCCTGGATATAGGATGGTGGAATGGTGCAGAGGGTGACATATGGCTACATAGCGATCCAGAGCCATAGCCACAAGTACACCTGACTCCATGGAAGAGAATGCATGGATGAAGAACATCTGGATCAGGCAGAAAGTATACCCAATCTCATGGGCATCAACCAGGAGCACTGAAAGCATTTTGGGTGCCGTAGAGGAGGCCAGGACCAGGTCAATGCCAGATAGCATAGCCAGAAAGAGGTACATAGGCTGGTGCAAGGATGCATCAGTCCAGATGATAAAAAGGATGGTGACATTGCCCACTAGAGCAAAAAGGTAAAGGGCACACATTGGCAATGCTATCCAGTGCTGGCTTTCCTCTAAACCAGGGATGCCGATTAGGAAAAAAGAAGGATGGAGGAGACTCCGGCTGGAATTGCTAAGGGCCATCATGGATGACTCAGAAAAGGACGAGAAAAAAGAAATCAAAATCATGATTTTTCCATTCCTGATGGCTTAACACCTTGTCCAGGCCTGGCTGCCATCTTCACGAAAAGAAAGAGGCTTAAACTGCAACACAAGAGAGTAAAGGAAATAAAGATACAAAAAGAAAATCTCCTTTTCTTTTTTTAAGTACATTTTATTGATTATGCTATTACAGTTATCCCATCTTTTTCTCCCTTTTTCTCCCTTTTTCTCCTCTTCCTGAACCCCTCTCCCTCCAGCATTCCCCCCTTAGTTCATATCCATGGGTCATACTTGTAAGTTCTTTGTCTTCTCCATTTCCTACACTATTCTCAAACTCCCCTATTTTGTACCTACCAGTTATGCTTCTTACTCCCTGTACCATTTTCCCCACACTCCCTCCTCCGCCTACCAGTTGATAACCCTCCACGTGATCTCCATTTCTGTGATTCTGTTCCTGTTCTAGTTGTTTGCTTAGTTTGTTTTTGTTTTTCTGGTTCCTTTGTTGCCAGTTGTTAGTTGTAATTTTACTGTTCATATTTTTATCTTCTTTTTCTCTTAGCTAAGTCTCTTTTCATATAATAAGGGCCTGGTGATGATGAACTCCTTTAACTTGACCTTATCTGAGAAGCACTTCATCTGCCCTTCCATTCTAAATGACAGCTTTGCTGGGTAGAATAATCTTGGAAGTAGGTCTTTGCTTTTCATGACTTTGAATACTTCTTTCCATCCCCTTCTTGCCTGTAAGATTTCTTTTGAGAAATCACTTGATATTCCTATGGGAATTCCTTCATAAGCAACTCCTTTTCTCTTGCTGCTTTTAAGATTTTCTTCTTATCTTTAATCTTGGATAATTTTTTAAAGATAAGGCATCTACCTGTCTAAATTAGGATAGGTCTAGTTTTATTTAGAAATGTTTGTAAGCATACACGGCTTTTAGAAACACTCTTGAAGTCCACCATTTGAATACTTCTAATTTAGAACTGTCTACTTGAAAAAATCTTCTGTATTACCTCTTGGCATTACTGAACATTATAAATCAATCTGTTATTCTCCAAACATCTCCTTTAGTTTTCATAACATAGTGCTTTACTGTTGTTTCCCTTGTGTCCCCAGCCCCTGCACCTTCTCCATCTACCTTTCCATTATATGTTGTTGATTCTCAGTTCCACTTTCCCTCTATTCACTATTCTGTAAATTGTCTGATTGAGTTGATCCTTTTACATGGTTTTAACTATTTATATACCTTAATTTCTTCCATATCTATGGATCTAACTCAAATAGCTTTCTGAAACACAAATCCACTTTTTCATTTGCTCTCTAAATAACTATATCACAAACTCAATATATTCAGAGTGAATTAACTCACTTATTCTTCCCAAATTTGCTCTACCTCTTTTTTGTCCATACATTATTATCTATGTATGCAACCATATATAGAAACTTGAAACTTTCTTTACTTATTCTTATCTCTCATCTCTTTTATGTTTTCACCAGTTCCTGTCAAATTTATTTTTAACCCATGCTATATCTACTCCTTTTTCTCAACTCCCAGTGTCGCTGCCAAGTCTACACTCCCAACTGCTCTCACCTGGCTTGTTTTCTTAGCTCTCTCTGCCTTTGCTTTCATATTCTTCCCAGTCACTCTCTTCTCTGCCAGTCAAAGGGGTTTTCCTGAAATGGATATGTCATTATGTCACATCCAAGCTTAAAATTCTTTAGTGAGTTTACTTGATGAAAAAATATACATTTCAGATTTGCATACAAGGCTTTTAAGAGTTATCTTGCATAAATTATCTTATATCAATAGTTATTATTATTAACTTTAATATATGAGATCACTGGGGTCTTCCCTTTTCTCCCGGTCTCCATGAATCTGTTTCTATGTTTCAAACTTTTACCATATATATCTCTTGTCAAAATGTGATGATAATTCAGTGTTTCTAACACCTATGTTAACAAAAAGTACCAATTAAATAGGTGCCCTAAGTAATCTTCTCCATGTGAGTCATCTTCAGGGCATTGAAACAAAATCTTGAAACTGAATGTTTGTTCCTGTATGTTTGTCTTAAAATATGGGCACAGTCTACAATAATTATATTTGTTACCTAAGTGAGGAATGCACGTATATATATTTATATAAAGAGTCAGAAATAACTCCGTTCTTGTGAATTATGCAACAATATATCACTCCAATTGTCTTGATTATAAATCAGTAGTGACTACAATATTGGCCCCCAGCTCTGAACATGCACTTACAAAATCTGAAATAACTATAAGGTATATATCTTCCAGCCTTTGTTTTCCTTCTAGATTCAAAGCCACTGTTAATTTCAAGTAACAGTGACATAGTTTTATTGAGACCCTCCACCCTAGGATAATCTCATAATCTTACAAAAATTCACATTTCAGTGCTTAACATTCCACACAGTGAGAACATTAATTCTCTTTCTTAACTACTCCCCTTCTACTGCAAGTTTAAGGACACTTCTCATTTTTCAGCTGAGAAGTCAGGGAAGAGCTGTGCATCAGTGGAAGGCCACTCGTCGTTTTGACAGGAGCCCTGTTGTGGAGCAGTAAAGAATGAAGTGAAGCTGTAATGGGTGAAAGACAGAAGCAGAAATGGCTGTGCTCTGTGGTACATGAGTATAGAGGAAAAGTCTAGAACTGCTTATTAAGCATTAACTACTAAAGGAAACAAGTGGTTCCTCCGTGATTCTAAGAGGAAAGCAAAAGGGACTGTATTCCCAGGAAGAGTGGAGATATATTCAGCTCTCTGACCAGAACACAAAGGACAATTAGCTAAGAATGGATATTGTGCCACCTTACTTATTAATGTAAATTCAGTCCAACTGACCTGTATTCTATAAAGCTGTCCCCATATTCTGTAATGCATGTGTCCTTTTCTTTCCTGTCAAATCACTTAATCAGCCTCTCATTGCACTGATTACCTTGCACGAAAAATCCATCAGTGTGTCCATCCTTGAAGAGCAGGGACTGTGCTTTGCCTGTGACAGCAGTCACAGGGCAAGTTCCAGAAGTGCTGGAATATAATTGGTACTCAGTAATGTTGCTAAATAAATAACAATAATATGATTAAATTTTTAAATAAATAAATAAGTATACAAAACAACCAGAAATTATGGGAACTTGACACAACACACTGAACTTACATGGTGGAAAGGATGTAGCAAACAGAGGGATGTACCTGAAGAACAGAGCCATAAGAGCCAACCAAGAAACAACTCCTATCACAAGGTCTATAGGATAAGCAGAAGTGAACCATCAGTAGACTTCCTTAAAACCATAAGCCCCAAACCTGACCTCATTTGCCTATACCTGAAATCTCATAACGAACTTTTAGCTGGTTCTGTTGCCTTCACTCTGAAAGACAAGTTTATTCTCAATACTTCCCCCAAGGCAAAGCTGGTAACTGTGCACAAAGCACTGGGCAGGCAAGATGTTATTGCCAATTGGTGGGTCCCAGGGGACACACGGATGCACCTGGATGTATTCTCCAGATTGGCTGGAGGTAAGCAGAGCTAAGTCTACTGCCTCAGAAATAGTTGTCAGACAAATCCACAGAGTGGGGAATGGCACCTGCATCTGTCCAGTGCTTGCCATCACTTTTAAGCCAGTATATCCAGATGGCTGTATTAGAAAACCTCATGTTCAGTGAGTTAGGAAAACTCAGTGTTCAATAAGCTCACACTTCTCAGTCTCACAGGACATACTCAACTCAGTTATTTCTTTTTTTTAATTGCTTGTTAGTTTTTTTTATTAGATTCCTTATATAAGTGAACTCATGGTATTTGTCTTTTTCTAACTGGCTTATTTCACTTAGCATAATACTCTCCAGGTCCATCCGTGCTGTCACAAAACATTAAAATTTTCTTCTTTTTTATAAAAACAAGGAATATTCAATCGTGTGAATGTACCACAGTTTTTATCCACTTATCTACTGATGGACACTTGTACTGCTTCCAAATCTTGGCTATTGTAAATAATGCTGCAATGACACACTGCTTTGGGTTTCTTTGGATATAGTCCCAAAAGTGGAATTGGTGGGTCATAAGACAGTTCCATTTTTAATTTTTCAGGAAACTCCATGCTATTTTCCACAGTGGCTGCACCAGTCTGCATTTCCACCAACAGTGTATAAGGGTTCCCTTTTCTCCACATCCTCACCAACACTTGTTTGTTGATTTATTGATGAAAGTCATTCTGACAGGTGTAAGATGATATCTCATTGTGGTTTTAATTTACATTTCTCTGATGATTATTGATGTTGAGCATTTTTTCATATATCTATTGGCCACTTGTATGTTCTCTTTGGAGAAGTGTCTATTCAGGTCCTTTGCCCATTTTTTAATTGGATTGGACTTTGGTTTTTCTTTTCTTTTTTTTTTTTGGTGTTGAGTTTTATAAGTTCTTTACAAGTTCTTCATAAGTGTTGGACAGTAACACTTATCAGATATATCATTGGCAAATATGTTATCCCATTCAGTGGGCTGTTTTTCAATCTTGTTGGTGGCTTTCTTTGCTGTGCAAAAACTTAACTTGATGCAGTCTCATTTGTTTATTTTTCATTTCTGTTTCCCTTGCCTGCACAGATATATTAGAAAAATTATCACTATGAAAAATGTTTGAGATTTTACTGCCTATGTTTCCATCTAAAATTTTTATGGCTTCAAGTCTTACATTTAAGCCTTTAATCCATTGTGTATGGTGTAATAAAGTGGTCTAATTTCATTTTCTTGCATGTATCTATCCAATTTTCCCAACACCATTTATTGAATAAACTTTCTTTACCCCAGTGTATGTTTCTTGACTTGTTTGTCAAATATTAACTGACCATAAAGGCATGAATCTATTTCTGAGCTCTCTATTCTGTTGCATTGGTCTATATATCATTTTTTTCCTGCCAGTACCATGCTGTTTTGACTACTATGGCCTTGTAGTATAGTTTGATATCAGATAGAGTGATTTCTCCAATTTTGTTCTTCTTAAAATTGCTGTGGCTATGCAGG